TTGCGTTGTCCAGTCAATCTCGAGACAATCAAGAGTGAAAAATGATTTTTGAATTCCCCGCCAAATTGGCATTGTGTTTCAAGCTTATAGCATTAGCATTGATCTTTTTTAATTTTTAGTCATTTTTCTTTGATATACGTCGAAACCATTTAAATAGACCTAAATTTTTTAATTTATAAGCTTTCCTTACCTGGTACATTCAAGAAAAAGGCTTGAAACACAATGCCAAATTTTACCAAATTGGCGGGAGCTTCATAAGTTTTAATCAAAACTTGAGAGCGCGATCTAAAACTTTTTATGAGTACTATTGATGGTACAAAAAAATTATAAAACAATTTGAACTTTTTCTAAGCTAGGCAGGTGGGGTACTTTTGCTGTAAAATATGAGTTTTTTATTCTTCCAAATTTATAGTTTACCACCTTGCTTTCTCATCTTTTAGTAACAAAATCTGTTGTTTTGATTAATAACTCCTAAATCTTTGTTCTCACTCTTCCCTTTTCCCAGTTTAAATCATCGCTGTTTCTAAAAATAGCCACAAAAAGAACCAAGTTATGATGTTATACTCTTCTTATCGGCCAAAACTTTTGCGAAAACTGATTAGTGTTTGAGTTGATTACTTCTTTTTGGATGATTTTTTTGATTGTTTACTGTTATTAGGGATTTTGGTTGTAAAGTAGGGGGGATTTTGTTGTGTTAGGTCTGTATTGGTCTTGTTGGTACTGTTTTACAAAAGTATATTGGTGATTTTGATACTGATTTGTATAAATTTACAAAAATTGTACTAGTTTGGTGAATTTTACGCTTTAACTAGAACTACTCATAAAACGGTACTATTATGTACTATTTTAAAAACGATATTATTATGGGGTATTTAAACTGTAACTAGTACTTATATGATGCCTTGGGGTTAAACTGGTACTAAAATTTAATTTTTCGATTAAAACCAGTACTAACTTAACTACTTTTATCTAAGACTAGTTATCTCGTACTAAAACAGTATTTTGTAGAACTATTTAGTACTAGTACTCGTACTAAAATTAAAATTTTTTTTATTTTTTTTACCAAACCCTGTTATTAGAGACATCAATTTATTATTTTTGCAAGCTATGTGTGGGTCTATTTATCAGGCTCTGTTTAATTCCCTGATATTTTGACTGTTTATTTAGCCGATTTTGTTATTTATTTCACGGAGGCCAAATTCCCAGTTTTTTTCGAAAAATAAGCTCACACAAGAGGGGGGGGTTTTGTACTAGACCGACGATATAATGATGCGGTTTGAAAATGAAATTTAGGGGTTCGGGGGGGGGGGGAATAAAAAATTAGTAAAAAAGTTTTGATTGGTTCAGATTTTGCACAGTAAACTCAAACAAAAAATTTTTTGTTATTACTTTACCCTACATTACGTTATAATCCTTGTTACCCTACCTTGTTATACGTGACTCTAATCAACTCTTACTTGCTTATCTTTACCTGGTTTTACTCCGTTCTATGTATGTTGCTCTTACGCAGTGATATTTAACTTTAAAATATTCTTTGATTCTATATATTACAGTATATTCTTTTTGAACTCTACAAACTCTGTAACCTAATATAAAACGTCTAAAAGTGTAATGCCCTTTTAAATGTAAATACACGTCAAAAAGGGGTTTTATTTACTAAAGATTGTTTTGTTTAGGTTAGAAAACAAGACTTGGCTTTAGTTGCACTCCGTATGTCATTATTCCTCATTATCCATAATCTTTTGTTGATTCCGGGTTGGGTTGGGAAATTATTCGGTTAGGAGGAACCTATTTTGATGCTACCTTTTTTACGTATTTTACAAATCCACTCAAAAAGTGAAAAATGTTTTTATAAATTGATTTGTTGTGGAACTTCTGTATAAAGAATTGCTTGAGAATTTTAAAATTGCTCATTTTAAAAAATTTTTATTTCAAGCAAGTTTTAAAATATAAAGATAGCCGGAGATTTAGATACAGTGCACTCTTTGTATAATGAATCGCTAGGGAAATTAAAACTTGTTTGTTACATAGAGGTTTCAAATGCACCGTGTAATGATAGCCAAAGATTCAAGAGAAGTTCGCTATACGGGGGTTTCGTTATATAGAGATTTCTTATATTGAGGTTTTACTGTATTATTTGTTATATAGAAATTTTGTTATAGGGGGGGGGGGTTATAAAGCGGTTTGTTTTTCAATGGTTCCACTGTACTTATAACAATTTTTTAAAAAAATAGAAATTAGGTCATCAAAATTTACTTTTAAAAAATAGGTAATTTACCACTTGTATCTACACTAAAAGCTTGCGTTGTTTTTACTAACTGTTCGTGGCACTTACCCACAAACATAAAAATGAGTTTTTTTTCATTTTTATAATTTTTAAAGTTGCACAAAAAAATTATTTTAACAGTAAAGTTGTTTACTTTTTTATAGATGATTTTGGTAGCTTTTCTCAGGGAAGGGTACATCCTTAAAAAATGTTTATTCTGATTTTTAATTTTTGATTTTTTACTAAAAAATGCACAACATTAAGGCATTAATAGCCAATTTTTGACTGCTAATTAGGTTAAAGTTATACTTCTTATAACATATAGGCTTTTAGTTAATTTCATTGTTATTAATGGGTGTAAAAATATAATGGCTTAATTTTTTCAAAGTTGAAAAAGTGTTTTGATTTAATTTGTTTGGCAAATGTGATTAGGCAAGTCAAATACTTATATATTTGAATTGAGGTATAGTTTACGCGTTTCAGTACGTTTTTACCAGTTTTTGGCGGTTGGGTTGGGTTTGGCGGGGAAGTATACCTGTAAAAGGGCCCAATCTTTTGAACCGGTTTACAGGCTGCGTCCTGGTTTGGGCCAGACTCTCAGGCCTACGTGTGTTGGCCCGGTGTCTTTCAAATTTGCTTCTGCTTGGCTATGTCTGACCTGGAGTTGGGCATACTGGCATTTGAATCTCAACGAACTCACTTTATTCATGCTTATGTAAAAAAATTTTTTGGCAAAGAATGGTGATACTTTACCTTTTTTAATTATTTTTTGCTGACTTTTCACGTTTTGCTCTTTTCAAAATTTCGAAAAATTTTAAATTACCCAATTTGTCAACATGTTGACAGCACTGCTCAGCTTTCAACATGTATATATTGTTGCTATAAATAGCTGCATATACAAATTGTTCGTGTAATTGACGCACTCTTTTGTTGAACAGGAACGTTGAATCACGGTGTCGAAGAAAATTAATTGAAATGCTTGAGGGAAACGGCTCGAAATTAGTGAAAGTTCAATTTGTTGTTTCCATTTGGTACTCTAATATTGTCGTTTCTCTATTGTGTTGGCAGGAAAACGTCATTTTTGTGCAAAATATTAAATTTTTTTTGCAATTTTTTTGAAATCAATAATTTGATTAAGTCGTTGATATTCAAGGTCTATATTAATATTACAAAAACCTAATATCTATAGGTTCTGCTATTGCTTTGTAAAATACTGCCTTATACTGCAGTTTTGACTATTATTTTGCGCATTACTATAAGTTTGAAAAAGTCATGGATCCTATGTTTAGATGGATTTGCATGAAGCTTGTGGTTCATAAGGTAAAACATGATAAACTATGTTTATATTCCTTTATTCACGGCGTATTTTACAAAAAATTTTTACTAAAGTTAGTATCGATAGGCCAGAAGGAGTAAAGAAATTATATACATATGTACTATATAGGGGTAGGGTAGGGTAGGGTAGGGTAGTAAAAACATGATTTTTAACCTAAAAACTCAAAATTATGCCACTTTTAACCCGAACCTAAAGTTAGATCAGTTTTTGCACATCCGAACTCTTCAAAAAACGTCAGTGATTTTTTGCACTTCCTCCTGAAAATATCTCCTCTCCGGCACAAAAAAGCGTTTGAGACGTGAAACCCATAAAACTTTGGGGGTTTTGCCCTCCTTTCGAGTTGATTTTAATTCCCTCCGGGCATTTGAATAACATGCTTTCTTTTTCTTTAATTCAGTTAGTGTGTTACAAGGCTGGACCATAAGTTTTGAGGCTTTGAGGTGTTTGGCGACAAGAGAAAGGGGCTTTTAAGTTGGGTTGTGGCGTGTGGCGAAGGTTTGGATTTTTTGATTAAAAAATTGAAATTTGAAAAAAAAACATTTTAATTCTTTTTGCTTAAGACATTAAATTTTAAATTGTAATTAGCCCAAAACTAGTATTTTTAAGCTGTCATCTTCGTACATCTACACATTTTTTTAAGATTAAAGATACTTTTAAACCGCTTACGTTACACTGACGTTATTTTACACAGGTTTTTAGCTTGTTTTTATGCGTTTTTATATCATACATCAGTTTTTTGCTAAAGTTTGGGTTTGTAGAGGTGGAAATTTGTAACTCTAGGCTTTTTAAAAATCGTAAATTACAATATTTGGTAGTTTTAAATGGAGGAGCGTATTTTACACAATTTTTTAAAACTTTTTATAAAACTTTTTTTCAATGTTTCAATATTTAATTTTAACTTTTTAACTAAAAAAATTGTTTATCAAAGATAATATTTGACTTTTTTAATAATTTTCAAGCTCTAATTACTATCTCTGCTTACCCCAAAAGCCTTAAAAATCTCCAAAAGTAACCTGAAACAATATTTTTTGAGTTTGAAGTTGTGGAAACACTGGCAATTTTCTGCTTGAACTCTTTTTGTCAGCCTTCAAATTGAATAATGTTGTGTTAGGGAAATGTAAAATTCGTAAAAACAAGTGGACGTTTTGCATTTGAGATCAAAGGTGTATAAAGGTTCAGCTGGCATTCACTTACTATAGATTACTCTGCTTTTGTTACCTAAAATTGGTTTTTGAGCCTGAAGGTGCCAAATATTACCTAAAAATTGGCTTTCAAGGCTAAAAATACTGAACTTGGTTTTTAAGCCTAAGGATACTAAAATTTTTAAGTCTGAAGATAGTAAAGTTGATGCTAAAGCTAAGGTATATGATAATGAATACTAGAAAACGAAGTCATATTATGGAACTGGCTGCTAGGGTAAGGTGTCTTTGTTTCTATCAAGTGTTAAACTTGCCTTTAGTTCACCCTACCCTACATTATCAAGGCTGAAAATTGTCTTTCAAGGACTAGATCTATCTATATTATTCATGTTTTTAGCCTTTCCTTAGAGCTTTCTTATCTTTTTATGACAAATCTATATTCACTGATATGATTTTATTACTTCTTATCATAAAAACTCAATGTAATTTTAAAAAAACTAAAAAATGACCTTTTCGATACCTACAAATGCCTTTTTCAGAGCCTGGAGATGGCCCTGACCAGAGACAGTTCGGTGTTGGAGCCGCTGCAAAGTCAGTGGAGTAAGGGTGGGAGTACGGAAAAGGGCAGTAAGGGACGGGCCGAACTGGCCAATCCCGAGATCCTGGATTTGGTGGAACAGTCGGACAAAGAAAGCATAGCATTCCAGTTATGGCACTCGGATGCGCTGTACAGTCAATACTTTGCTCACATGAATTCGGGTCGATTGAAGGTAGATTCGGTGGTTTAGAGGGTTTGAAGGGAAATTTATGGTATTCAAGCTTGTGTTTATTGTGTTTAAACTCAAGTTTTTTGTGTTCGAGCTTACAATTCTGGTGTATAAACTCAAAATCTTTATATTCTTCATGTGTAAGATAGGTAAAATTAGCATTTTCGGAAAAAAACCTACAATGTTACCTAAAATTGGCTTTTTTCATTAGAAACATCTTGTTTTAGGCCTTTTAACCCACCAAAACAAACGTTTTTTCACTTTTTACCTTTTCCACCTTATTTTTGCCACTCTTTTTTGAAGCGAAATATTTTGCAGAGTATGCTAATTGAATTGTTATTGTTTACAATGTTAGTAACTGAATTGAATTTGCAAAAAAATAGGCTAATTCAATGATTTTTGCTCGTTTTTTTACAGGTTTTGGCTCAAAAATCAGCAAAAAAAACTCCAAAAATTGACAAAAAAGGACCAATTGGTAGAAAGGATACCTAAATTCACACAAAAAGGCTTACTAACATAAACATATGTGTCTTTTTTATCTTTAAAACTACATTTTTAGAGTGCCATGTCATTTCTAGTCCTACTGAGCGTGTTCGAAATGACCGTGCACGCCTTAACCTCGTCGTGGTTCCGGTTCGCCGCCATCAACATAATCACGATGCTGCTGGTACTACTGCTGTGCGTATGGAAGAAGCAGACGCTGGCGTTGAGCTGGGTTGTTATCATATCATCGGGTGTTTTGTTATGTTTTGCTCCGGTCTCGTTGAGATCCTCGTTGACCGTTCTCATGTTGTTCTTATGTTACACACTGCTGCCATTACAATTGAAGCCGAGTGCAATCGCGGCCATTTTTATCACTTCGATTGCTTTGTTGTTGGAGGTGCTCACTCAGCAGGTCGGCGTTAAAGGTAAGGATGCAGGCAGAAAACAATTTTTTTAAATTTTTAAGAAAAAAATTTATGAAGAAAATTACCCCTCCCACCCTTTCCCAACGCAAAAAAGACCATGTCTAACACAAAAGTTCAATAAATTTTTTAAAATTTTAAATTTTTTCAGGCTTCGCAGCCGAAGCCCTCCTACTCCTAGCCATGAACATAAACGGCGTTTTCGTATATTACCCTACCGAACTTGTACAACGTCGAACGTTTCGAGAAACCCGCAAATCAGTTGAAAACAGAATCCAACTCGTTCGCGACAACGAAAAACAAGAAAACATATTGCTATCAGTGCTGCCGAAACACATTGCAAACGACATGAAAAAGGACATTGACAATAAGGAGAACGAGGAAATGTTCCACAAGATCTACATTCAGAAACACAGTAACATCAGCATCCTCTTCGCCGACATTTGTGGATTCACAAATCTGGCTTCAACGTGCACGGCCGAAGACCTGGTCAGAACGTTGAATGAGCTCTTCCGAAGATTTGATACCCAAGCTCATGAGAACAACTGTATGAGGATCAAGATTCTGGGCGATTGTTACTACTGTGTCTGCGGATTGCCAGAGCCGAGGGCGGATCACGCTTATTGGGCGGTCAAGATGGGCATGGATATGATTCACACGATTGAACTAGTCAGAGATCTGTATGGTGTTGATGTTAACATGAGAGTGGGCATTCATACTGGCAAAGCACATTGTGGAGTGTTGGGACTGAAGAAATGGCAATTTGATGTGTGGAGCGATGATGTTACACTTGCCAACCATATGGAAAGTGGTGGAATTCCCGGGTAAGTGTTAAAGATTACCTAAAAATAGTTTTAGATGACAAAGAGTACAATAAAGAACGATATTGCGACAGAAAAATAAAAAAAAGAAATTTAATCGTTTGTATAACTTGTCACTTTTGTACGGCGCAGTCTGCTATGCTCGTCGTAAAATACGGAAGATAGCAACTTTTGTAAAAAAAATCTTCCAACTTTGTTACCCTTTACAATTTTTACTGATTTTATACCAAAATATCGAAAAATATCACTTTAAAATAATATTAACATTGCCAATATGTAATCTCGATATTGTTTTAGGCGAGTTCACATCACGAAAGCGACGTTAGACGCGTTGAATGGTGCGTTTCAGGTGGAGCCAGGTCATGGAAAAGACAGGTCGAAATATTTGGCCGAGCACAAGGTTGAAACCTTCTTGATAGTGCCAAAAGAAGAGGACGAACCTTTGAGCAAGAGAAGTCAAGTACATACCTCAACAAAAGCTGAACAACTGGCCGGAATATTGGACAAACATGGCAATTCTGTTAGGTATGTTATATTTATTTGTTTTTGATTGATTTAGGTGGATTTAATGAAGGTTTTGAAGTTTAAAACAAGGTAAAGTACGGCAATTTAGCTTTGTTGTTGTTATTTGTCGAGAAATAGGTAACATTTACGGTTTTTTATTGAATAATGTAAAATACGCCATCTCACAGATATGTAGTTATCTCATTCAAAGTAGTTTTCTTACAATATAAAAAACATTGTTTTAAATAAACTAACCTTTATTTCTTTAGCAGACGAGAGCTTTCTCGACCAATTGAAGAAGAGGTCGATAAATACCTGGAGCGAGGGATTGAGGCGATCAACAAGGAGTTATGGAAGACAGATTATTGTAACAAATACACATTGGTCTTCAAAGATTTGAGAATGGAAGCAAAGTTTCTTCAGTACAAAGCCAATGCGATATTAATGGAATTGGCTTGCTTGTTGACCATATTCATCTTGAGCTCGTTTATGCTGTTTGTTGGGGATTTGGAGTGAGTTTTTGATTTTTTAATGGAGGTTTTGATGAAGCCCACTTTAATTTCTTTTAAATTTCATAAATCTTTAATTTTTATATATTAAAAAATCAATTTTTATTACCTAAATATCTATTTTCAGCTCAAATGACATGTTCATAGCCAACGGCCTGGCAGTAATGCTAGTCTTTGCTCTAGTCCTTCTATTAGCGTCTAAATCAATTGGACATCACAAGATCTTTGGTTTAATAAAGCATCGGGACGAATCAGAAAAGTTTAATCCGCCAAGAAGACGAAAGATGCACAGTGTGCACAGATACCCAAAGTTTACGATCGTACTGGCCGTTCTATTCTTTTGTACTTACTTTATATTTCTACGGTTTTTGATGTTCGATCATTATGGCAATACTGAACCGTGCAGTTTGGAGTGTAGTGAAGGGAATTCGATCATTACGAATTATTGTGCTTCTATACCTAATCCTAAAATTGAGGTAAAGTTTTTTGCTTTATTTTGTCTAAAATGGCGGGTTTTTAGCTTTTTAAAGTTGAAAATTTTTTTTAATTTTTAAAAATTGAAATTTTAAAAAAGTTAAATTTTTAAAATTTAAACAATAAAAGTTATAAATTTCAGCTCGCCTTTGAAGGAATATTGTTGATCCTGTTATCTGTTTGTGTTTTTCAATCCTTCTTGGCTATGGAGAAGATGTTATTAGCTGGTCTTTTATGCTTCTTCGCTCAAGTCGCTTTATGGACATTACCATTCCCAGCACTTCAGAATCGCCAATTCCATGTTTGGTTGAATCTGAATGAAGGGCTACACAATGCAACGGTGTATGCACAGGCTAACGCCTATTGTCAGTAAGTCATTTTTGAAAATTTGGGTTTTGGGTGGGGATAAAATTTTTTGAGTGGCGAAAAAAAGTTTTTTTTTGGGGGATAAAAAAACTTTTGTTGGACATGGTAAAAAACGTCTTTAGGCGGTACAAATTTTTTTTGAGTGGGGTAGTTTTTTTTTTGTAAAATATTTTTTAGTTTAGTAGTTTTTGTGAGGAGTATAAAAATTTTAAAAATGTCTTTTTAGAGAATACAAATGGTCCACAGATCTTCGTTTTTACTACACGTTTATCACATTCTTCGCTTTTACTCTAGTCACGATACAAAGTCGAAGATCCGAATTGATTGCTCGATATGACTTTATTTGGAAACTACAGGTAAGGGCTTACTTTTTGTTTCTATTATTTTAAAAAGTAAAATTTTAGAAAAAAAAATTTTAATTTTATGTCTCTCAATCCTTCTAATCCTGACCTTGTTTCAGGCGATTGGTGAAAACGTCGAAATGAAGCGAACTCACGAGCAAAACCGTCGAGTCCTCGAGAACATCCTACCAGCCCACGTTGCCTCCCACTTTCTAACAGCTCTTCCAATGAGTCGTGCAGATCTCTACAGTGAAGGCAGAGAGAATGCATGTATAATATTTGCGACAATAACTGAATTCAACAAATTCTACGTCGAATTGGATGGAAATAACGAGGGCGTGGAATGCCTGAGGCTGTTAAATGAAATCATCGCAGATTTTGATGAACTCATCAGTCGACCTGAGTTTAGTTGTATCGAGAAGATTAAAACAATATCGACCACTTACATGGCTGCATCTGGTCTTACTGGTACTGCGGAAGGGAATGATCATGTTGTCGCGGTTGCCAACTTTGCGATCAAGTTGCTGCAAATGATCAAACATATTAATGAGCATTCTTTCAATAATTTCAGTTTAAGAATTGGTAAGGAATTTGTTTTTAAATTGAGAAAATTATTTTAAAATTCAAAAAATGATGGTTTAGGTTTGCACGGTGCAAAATATCATGGAAAATGAAATTTAAAAAAATTTATCTATGTCAAGTTTTTATAGCCTTTTATATTATTTATAGCCTTCAAAATGAATTTACCAAAATTATTTTTAGGTATAAACATTGGTCCAGTTGTCGCAGGTGTGATTGGTACCGAAAAGCCACATTATGACATTTGGGGAAACTCGGTTAATGTGGCTAGTCGAATGGATAGTTCTGGCCTTGCTGGTATGTTTTTATACTGTATTTTACCTAGCTTTATCGTATTTTAAAATTTTTGGAGAAAATCATTTTTGGGGTTTTGCACGGTGCAGTCTTTAGTTTTCTGCACCGTGCAGCCAATTTTACTGTTTTCTGAAAATTTTTTATCTTTTGATTAAAGCTTTTTTGACGGTTTTGAAACTTTTTGTTTTGTTGTATTTTAGAATTTTTTGAAACTTGACTTTGTCTTGTTTTAGGTAAGATCCAAGTGACGGAAGAGACGAAGCAAGTCCTCGAGCAAGAAGGCTTCAAGTTCGAATGTCGAGGTCAAATTCCAGTAAAGGGCAAGGGTTTAATGACGACGTACTTCTTGATAACGCCTGAAGATACGACTTCTTTGCCGGATACTACAGACGTATTTTAGAAATGTAGATTAGGTCTTGTACATATTATTTTACATTTTTGTAGATTTTTTTTTAGATTTTATATAAATTTAAAGACGTTACAAAAGTCTTGTCGTTTTTCAACGTGCAACACCATTCAAATAAACGACAAGACTTTTATGACCTCTTTAAATGTTATTTTTTACTGTAAATGTAAACCTTAAAGTACGTTTTGTCGCTAATACTATTTTTACGCATATGTACATCAAGAATAGCATCACATGTAGAGTATTTATAGCCAGACGGCGTATTTTAATCAAAGTTATTGGTCTGATTCGAAACGGGATATCTTTTTTTCTTATAATCACATTGCCTCCATTTTTTTGCCAAAACAAAATAGTAATGTAATAACCTATATATATATTTATCGTTTGTTCATCCGGTGTAAAACACTTTTATATTTGATCTGACGTTTTTTTATCTACTGCAATATTTACGGTGATTCATAGCCAACTCGATTGTGTACGGTCTTTCGGTTATTGTAGAATGGTTACAGTAACATGACAATGAAGTAATATATTTTTATGGGTTTGAATGATTTTCTTTGTATATGGTAAGATATAAACTGTAGTATAAGAAGCGTAATCGTAGTAAGAGAAGTTTAATTTGTATTATATATATTGTGTTAGATGATACATGTATAGCTTAAACTAATAGTAGTATAAAAGTATACTAATAGTAGTATAAAATGGTGCGCTATATGTTGTAGGTGTAATAATTTTATAAAAAGTGTACAATTGCACAAATATACCGTAAAGTAAAAAGTTGTAGCTCTTATAAAGTTTATAAAGCAAACTATCACAAGATTATTATAATACAAAAACTATACTTTGTAATGTACTGTGTGGCAAGACTCGCTAAAAGAGATGATTTAGCACAGTTTTGGTTGTAAAAATAGTTTTGTATATACGTGTAGGTTTTGAGCTTTGGTGGCCAACAAAGGACCCTTTACTTTAAAATTGTTATAAAAGTTTATATAGAGCTTATTTTTTAGTTGTTTTATAGAAGATGGACGTACGATACATTTAACTAACTTTCAATGTTGTGATTTTTAGTAATTCCACTCAATTTTTTTAGGTTATTTTTTATTTATCTTTATGTCTTAATTTTACTTCTATAAAAACGTAAAGATAGCCAAAAATTTAAAAGTTTCTTTTTGTACGGGGTTTTCGTTATAAACAAGTTTTGTATATGGGCATTTTAATAGTACATAGTAAACTACAAGTATATTAAATAAAGACTGCAGTTTCAATAACCCAATTTGACGGTAAAAAACGTAAGGTTTACTTCCTTATGTCAAACCAGTTTACGCTCAGTGTTTTAGTATAACCAACAATTTTTAAAGTTGTTATATTATCATATATAAAAATATATATTAAAAATCCTTTTTTCTATTTTCATTTCCTGCTTCAATTGAATAAAAGCAAACCCAAAAAATCTAGACGCATTCTGCTACATTTAGATACAAGTCTATACCTAAAGGTCAGCAATTTGTATGTGTCATTAATTTCTCTCTTTTTAACTTCATATTAAGCTTCTATAGTATTCTTCTTTACTATTAACTATATATGGTTCTACTTCCTTATATTGTGTTAGTTTATTTACTATTCACCTCATATAATGTAAACCACAAAGCTCAGTAATGCTTTGAAGGAAAAACTAAACAATATAAGTGCAACTACGTTTCTATGAATGAATAAAAGTCTACTTTTAATGCCATAGTAAATGTCTCTAGGTTTAAGTATTCATTAAACTTTATTTTAACGATTTGTACTATAACTATTGGTATTAAAGTAGGAATAGCTTTTTAATGACAATATTATAAGTTTTAACGGCCAAGTCTTGGAATTTACCGTTACTAATTCGTCGTTTCCAGACAGTAGTTGACCTTACTTGTCCATAGGGAGCTATTAACGTATTGTTTATTGTTTCATGGTCTATATGTTTAGTTTATGGTTTTAACTGTATAGTTTAATTATATATCCACGGTTTACCAAGAATTTTAAACCTATATTAAAATATGTTTTATGATTTACCGAGGATAAGTGTTTACAAGTACACCTATCTTTTAAACATAATGACTTTTAACCATGGTACATCGTTTCGTATAAAAATTGTGAAAATAATAAGTACTGACCAATTAGACTTTACATGTTACGCTACTGCGTACTTGTTACAATTAGCTACATATAGATAACGCATTTGAAAGTCTATGCTCAAAGTATTTTAGCAAATTAGTTTCTATATTGGTAAGTCTTTATAACAACATTTTGATGCAAAAACTAATAATATTACTTAAAATTGAATTAACGGGCACCAGAACTAAACAAAATGCTCAACAACATTGTGTTAATTTCAAGCACGTCTTGAGTTTTAACAAGTAAACTAGAGTTTCTTTTCGAACTTTTGTCAACTTTTTTGAAACTTTTCATTATAAAGTTGGCATTAGACCTGAACGAGGGTTTACTAAATAAGACGAATCTGTTGTAAACCTAAATACAAATTTTAATTTTTTTCATATTTTGATTAGGTTATTTCAAAATTCGACCTTACATATGTTTATCGTCTTTTTAAGGCTGTTGTGTTCAACGTCTACGATTTGTTGTCTTCATAACTGTAATTTGTTATAATATAATTGTAAGTAAAGTAACTTAACTATGTTACCTGTAAATTTCACATTTTTAGAAAAAACAAATTTTGCTTACAATATATTTTTTGCAATTTGTCTATTGTAATCGAAAAATATGTTCTTTATATTATTGTGTAGTAGTTTGTGTCGTATAAATTGATTTTATTAGTGGAGGAGAGTTGTAGTGAAATAAGTATGCCTACGCTGAATATTTCGTATTTGTGCCAAATAAGGTATAGTTTAAGTATTTTTCGGTCTGCGTTTGGGGGGCAAAGAAGGGATAGACTTCCATGCATAGTATAGCTTTTACAGTATTAGGCTTGGTTTACAATACCTTCAAAGTTAGCCAATACCTAGTACATGACTTTCCTCACCAAACTTAAAAAACAAACCATAACTTGTTTTTATCGTATACCTCTTAATACTGCTACTACTACCTTGTTTACACATCAACTCAAGCGTCATATTAGCAATAAAATGTAATGTGATATTGTATTGCAACAAAATTTAGTTACTTCTTGTTGGTAGGCTTACTTTTCCTATTTTTTACATGGAAACAAGTTGACTTTGAATGTGTCAGAAATATCGTTTTACAGTGTCAACTTTACTGTGATATACATTTCTACTTGTTAAGTATATGGTTTCCGTAAAAGTAAACCTACTTTTTAAGTATACATGTACTGTTACTCTTGCAGTACATATACCTGTTACGTATATGATTATTGTAGCAGTAAATTAACTTACAATTTGAAAATATAACGTTTTGTAGGTTACAGTACTTTCGAAACAATTCTATTTTTAATTTGCTGACGTTGATCTATGTTATCCCACTCATATTTTTGCATCTTGTACATATGTACAATAGCGTTCGACACATGCTACTACGTATTAATGAAATTGTGTTTCGGTAACGCAAAATTTAGTATTTTTTATTTTTTTATAAAACTAAATTACTTTTTTGGCATTAAATGTAATACAATTACAGTGAGCTAGGTATGACACTGTTATTGTGAGGCATTTTATCCAAAAGTAACATTTCTATTCTTATTATTACAGGCTGTCTTAATACGCGTGATATTGCTATTGCGAAGTTGCTTTGATACCTTTAAACGTTGTCATTTTGTTGCTACACTAAAGAGAATTGTTTTTCAACTTTCGTTATTGACGTGGACATGTACGCAATTTGTAAAAATAGTATTTGACTTACCGTAGGTTGGTTTATAAATAACAAAATTACTAAAAAAAATCTTATTGATTTGAATATTTACGCGTACTAAAAGTTAAAGTGTTATTATAGTTAATTTACTTGTTAGTAATTTTTTATTTATTAAGACAGCGTAAAAATCTAAATTATAAGGTGTCAATATCCTGATCTCATCCTGCAAAAACTATAACACAAAACTAAAAATTATAGTTTAACAATATTTGGTTCGGAATTTGCAAGCTAATTTGCTGACGTTTTCATTGAATTTAACAAAATGTTTTAAATACATTTTTTGTTCTATTAGAAACGAAGGTTATTAATGATAGTAATTGTTAAATAAAATTGCTCGTATGGTTTTTTAGCTAGCTTTCGTCAAAGTTTGAAAAAAAACGGAAGTTTCATATTTGTAGACCTAATAATCATGTTTCATGTTGTTTATTGTTACTTAAAGAAATTGCTACAAACGTCACACTAATAAAAAAGAGTAAACTATTGAAGCTTTTAATTTTTAAAAGTACAGTAAAATTCAGTATAACGAAATCTTGTATAAAAAATTTTATGACGAACAACTTCTGAATCCCCAAGCAATTTTTTATTAGGAACTTTTACTGCATGCGCTTTTAAAGCCTAGAAGTTTCATTCTATATTAAACAAAATTTATTGTCGATGCATACATATGTTTTGTCTGTTTTTCTTCTATTATAGGCTTTTTTATTCAAAATTTTTTTCAAATTCTTTAACTTTACAGTATCTTTTGTAAAGGTAGCAATATATAGATCCATAAATTTGCCTTATATAAAGTCAACACTCTGCTCTTATCTAATGTTAGTTAACTTCTACCATTTCTATGCCCTTTTGTTGAAAATGTTTTTTTTCAAGTTTTATAGTTTAGAACTCAGAAAACACCGTAAGAACACTAAGCCACAATTCTTACATACCACAAGAAATATATTAGCAGAATTTCTTGGTGACATACTATCATTATCTTTTCTGTCATAAAAAATATCTTTGCATAACTAAGTTTGACCAGTATATATTAAACTTTCTTGTCTAACTACGTATTATAGCGTCAATGTGCCAAAAGTATATGGTAGTACGTTTCTTTATTTTAGAGATCGGTATGTCATTTTAGACACACTTCTAAAAATACTAGTTTTATAATTTCGTTTAACAAAAACTATTGGTAACACAAAGTTTTAATTACTAATTATTGTACAATTCTAAGATCTTGTAGGCCCAAATTATAAGAGGATGACGGTTATTAATAAGAGTTGCGATATTAATATAGCGTAGTATGTTTATGCCAATATTTTAAAAATCTTGTGTCTAATTGTTTCTACGGCATCAATGATAATATGTCGCGTATAGAACTACTATGTATTTTGTTCATTACACTTTTTGCGGTGCATTACTCTGCCAAAAAACAAAATTCAACACTGTTTTAGTCCAGATTAGTTTCTAACTACCCTAGCCTCAAGCCAACAAACTTATCATTTTTTCATTGCCGTACCATACTTGCCAACCGTTACCGTACGCCCCCCCCCCTTTCCTCCCTTCCATTACCATATCATACTCCATTATTATACCACACCCATCATCCCTTACCATACCTTGCCCGGCCATCCTTTTGCGACTTTGTACTATTTATCTTTTTATTTTTTGCACACATCCTACACAGCTCAAAAAAATATATTTGAACATAGCATTTTCACGGTAATACTCAGAATAGGATGCGGATTACCGCATTATTCATAAGCTTTTATTTTTTCCGTTACCCATCGTACACGATGTGAGTATTGTAGGTACGGTAAGCGTGTCTGCACTCTTGATTAACCTTGTTATTTATTTTGATGACATTACTTTAGTCAATATGTTGGTGTCTTTACTTGAGTAGGCATGTTGACGGCATTACTTGAGTTAATATTTTTCTGACGCCCCTTTATTGTATTCTTGATTTTTTTTATTCTTTAAAATCTTGTACTACCTTTTTTTAATTTTATTGTGAAAATCTAATGAAGCGTGTCCCAGCTAACTTATTAGTTATATAGCCAAAACAGCTTGTATAGACCAAATATTGGTTAAACCAAACTATATTGAAATTCTTGTGTTCGTACCTAAAAGTAATAATGCTTTCTTGACTATTTGATTTTTTGAGTCCAAAATATTCGAATATTTTAACATGTTTAATCACTTTCTTACTATAACACGGTAAACAAAAAAATTCTGAACTGTAAGGATTTTACACAAAAACGACCTTACTATATTATACTATAGCGTGTAAAAGTTATATTTTCTTAAGTCTTAATTATTAAAATTTAAAAATATTCCACCTAATCTAATATTTATTAGCATTAGGTTTACTTCCAGTAAAAATGTCGTTCTTTTTCCGAATTTATCTTCTGTCATTCATTAATGAAACTTACATCCGCCAAGCCCAGTTTATTAAAATGCACCGTAAATAACAAGAAAAGCAAATTGCAAAAAGAAAATTATGATTAGTCTAAGGTCCGGTGTGCAACTAGTATAATATGTAAGCCGAGGAGAAAGTGGGGAGAAAAAAAGAATTGCCTGATTTTAAAACTTCAATTTTTTAATTTTACATTTTTAGACTGAAAAAATCTATCTTCATTTTACTTTGAAAAAATTGAGTTATTTTAAATTTGATTTCTCGAAACGTACCAAATTATAATACACCACCTCCGCCCCCTCCTCTTCCACGCTAGTTTGACTAGTATAAAACTGCATATAGTACTTGACATAGCACATATATGCCCTTTCTTTCCCGACGTTTAACAAAGACCGAGCGTTTGCCATACCCTCCCCTTCTTAGCTAAAGTTCGGCCTTCGCTATGGCCAAAAGGTCTACATTCTGACTATTTTTGGCTATGTATAAAAAAGTCAACCGTGGCCAGAATATTTTACATTATTCACCAAATAAAAATGACGTTTTATTTGACCCTACATAGTTAACCTTTACCGTCCAAACCTGAATAATATATGCTTGTTTTCTCATCCTATTTGGGCATTCAAGCAAACCAGCTCAATTATTTTTTCAAACTTATGTATATTGTCTTTGCAGTCTTTACAGACAAATATATTTGTCTTTGTAACTGTTACATTTATTGCTTTTTTAACGTGATTTATCGTATTTATATTATGTAGCTATTATTATCGTATCTGGGTGGTTTCTTAACACAATATTAGTTTTAGAGTAGTGAGATGATGTTCGGTAAAATATCAACTTGATAGCTTAAGGTTTCTAATATAAATATAGCGCGGTTTTGTTTTTATTAAAGTTTCATGTTTACTCAACAATTTTAATGACGTATTTTACATTATTATCTTCGCCATATGCGTATATCGCAGAATATTTGGAAAGAACAAATAAACTTTACCGTGAAATTAATATGACCGTGTCTTATCATAATCTTCTACTATGCAAACCTAAATTTTTCAATTTCAGAAGCCAAGATGCACGCAGTGTTCGTAGTACATATGATAGCTGAAATTATAATAGGTATAACATCCATTATACTAACTCTGGTATTACTACGCGTCGTATGGGTCAACAGGACACCTAGGCTAAAGGTTTACTCCTGGATTTTGATGCTTAATGGTGTAGCCGATCTTGTTTTTGCTTTTTCTAACTTGGTCTTGATGGAAGTAAGTACCTAGTTCTTAATTTTAAAATGAAAAATGATTCTTTCCCTATTTTAGTTATACAGTTATAATCTACCAAAAAAATAAAAATCGATCAAAAGGCAAGACAACCAGAACTATAACTCTAATTTTTCAGGGCGTTGAAATCCTAGACAACTCGTTATTCCTATTCTCAACATCATTTTTCTACCATTCAACACAAACTGCAACAACAATCGCTACAGCGATATGGCTAACATCTTTGTATATGGCCTTTGCCGTATTGCCGGTCAATTACTACTATCGTTATCGACAGTTATCAACGAATCCTTTGACAATCTTCCAATACGTTTGCTTATATTTCTTGGCATTATTTTACGTTGGAGCTCATTGCTTCAGTGTGTTTTGGTTTACATTGCCAAAGAGTGAGGAGTTGGACAAAATCATCACTTCGGTAAGGGTTTTTAGCCATAATCTGTAAATTTACATTACCTTGCATTTAAAAAGCCGAGTCTTTGCATAATATAACCTATATTAATCCAATATTCAACATCATTCTTCAGGTCACCTACTACAGCGACCCACCAGCCTATATCGTATCCGTAGCATCAGAGCCCGGCTGTATGTATCATCTTCTCCATAGCACCGTACAAGTCGGTGGTTCCTACATGCTTGTCGCCTACTTTGCAATGAAGATACGAGCAGCGATCGTCGAACAACGTAGTCGTATGAGTAGTGGCGCCAAACGTACTGACAGTCAGATCATGACGGTCATGTTCGTACAATGTATGTGTCCATTCATTGTGCTTACGATTCCAATTGGAATCTGTGCTTCTGCTCCATTATTTGGAAAAAGTGTACCACTATTGGGGATTGTGTTGACAACAGTAATGGGATTAATACCTATTTGTAACGCGTTGAGTGCCTTATTGATTGTGGGTACCTACAGGAGTGCGGTGAAGCGGCTATTGGGTATGAGTGGTGTAGATTCTACGATTGCAATTACTTCGAAGGGAGCTGTGAGTCAGATGAATGCGGATGGTAAAACAGTGATATAGGCTACTGAAATAATGTTGATCTCCGTAGTATTACTTCTCAATACCGACGTCTTCTTGGTATTACAAATAAGCAATCTCTTCGTAGTACTTTTAAACAATAATATCTGTATAGTACAACTAGATATTGATCTCCTGAAAGTTTCAACTGTAAACATTTACGTTATTTACCAATATTAACAAATATTTTAACAACGACAAAATAAAAACGGTGTATATCAACCACGGTAATTATGCGAATATATTAAGTTTTACAACTTTAAATAATAATTTTCTAGATCTTAACTTGCATTATCATTTTACGCAAAATTAGATTCATATTGAATCAACCTAAACCTTTTTCTTATTAATTTTCCTCTTATAAACTATTTAAAGTCAATATAAAACCATTTCAAGTCATTATAATATCAAAAACTCTAATCGCAGTCTGTAAATCATAAATTCTTCCATTATCTTTCTAATCTTATTATCATTACATATAAAATAAGCTTGTTTTTACTTAATGTTTTAATACAAAACTTTCTTCAAAAAATTTTATTTGTTTCGGTTAATTAAAGAAAAGCTCAATTCGAAAAGTATATGTACATGATGATTATAATTTTTAAACGTTAATAGTAAAGATATTATAAAGGTTGAGATAAAAAAAAGTAAGTTGACTAGACAAAAATTGTTTACACGTATGTTAAACTGTCCTCAAAGAACATACATAAATCGCAGTCTGAGTGATATTTTGATAATATTGATATTCATCATGACTGATGATCTGAAGAGGTACCTGCTGGCTCGGATTCTGACTGTACATGAACTTGTGTTGAACTATAATATAAAGAAAACTAGTTATCAATAACTTACGTTAGAAATAGTATAAAAAAATTAAAAGTAAAGTTATCGTCTAATAAAGTTAAAAGCAAAATTCATTTAAAAAATAGGCTTACCGCTGCCACCTCCATCTTCGATTCCTCATTTTATTGATGTAATCAATAGTTGATATGTTGCCCCACCATAACATAAAATGAAACCCAACCAAAGATATGGACACAACTTCAGAAAACACTAAGAATACGACGACAACAATACACATTACGAACCAGACTTGCTTTCTTACGATCAGGTAAGATGGATCAAAGTTTTGGGGAACTGAAAGTAAGGTAAATCAATACACGTTGTTATACAGTAAGATAAAACAAAGTTATGAAAAAAAAATATTTTTGAAATATCAAAATGTTGATTAAAAGACGATTTCTGGGACCGTGAAGCAGTGCACTAGAAATTTACCCCCTATTTTTATTTGCTAAATCCATGAGATAGACGGTTTTAAGGTATTTGGTAAAGTGATTTTGGACAAAATGCCGTTTTGGCACTTTTATGCCATTTTTTGTTAACATACTGTTAAAATTTACCAAAAAATCAATAGTGCACCAAATGTTCTGAAAATTTGCACACTTACGTTTTTGACCATGCCAAACAATATTGTAATTAAAAATTTTTTTCTATTGGTACCGTAATCTACCGTAATCCGACCGGTCGATTATAAAAGTGCAAATATCTAAAAAGTTAACACGGAACTTCACAGGCAATTTTTGCATATTTAGAATCTCCATGGAATTTGGATTATCATAGGCTATGCCCCCGTTCCTAGTCCGATGGGTTTTAGGGGTTTTTGGTCGATTCAAAAATTACGGTAGCATACCAAGCAAAAATTAAAAACCTTTTTAAAAATCTACTAATGCATCGAACGCTTTGAAACTGCGCATAGTTATGTTTTTGATCATGCTAAACAACTTCGTAAATAAAATTTTTTTCCTAAAAATACCGTAACCTACCGTAATCCGACCGGTCGATTATAAAAATGCAAATATCTAAAAAGTTAACACGGATCTTCACAGGCAATTTTTGTATATTTAGAATCTCCATGAAATTTGGATTATCATAGGCTATACCCCCGTTTTTAGTGCAATGGGTTTTGGGGGTTTTTGGTCGACTGAAAAATTACGGTAACTTACTGCCTAAAAATTTAAAATTTTACTATGGTATTGCGAATGCACTTATAAGTCTATAAATTTGCATACTTACGTTTTTTACCATGCTTTACAACTTTGTATTATAATTTTCTCTTTGAATGTACCGTAACCCACCGTAATCTGATCGGTCGATTATAAAAGTGCAATTATCTAAAAATTTAACACGGTTTTCCATAGTCAATTTTAGCATATTTAGAATCTACATGAAACGTAGATATTGATAGGCTATAAGCTCATCTTAAAAGCTGCTAATTTTGAAGATAATCGACCGGTCGGATTACGGTAGGTTACGGTAACGATAGAAAAAAATTTTCAATTGCAATATTGTTTGGCATGGTCAAAAACATAAATATCCACAATTTTAAAACGTTTGATGCATTATTGGATTTTTAAAAAAAATTTTATTTTTTTTACGGTCTGTTACCGTAATTTTTGAATCGACCAAAAACCCCCAAAACCCATCGGACTAGAAACGGGTGTATAGCCTATGCTGATCCAAATTTCATGGAGATTTTAAATATGCAAAAATTGCCTGTGAAGATCCGTGTTAACTTTTTAGATATTTGCACTTTTATAATCGACCGGTCGGATTACGGTAGGTTACGGTACCAATAGAAAAAAATTTTCGATTACAATGTTTTTTGGCATGGTCAAAAACGTAAGTGTACAAATTTTCAGAACATTTGGCGGACTATTGATTTTTTGGTATATTTTAACAGTATGTTAACAAAAAATGGCATAAAAGTGCCAAAACGGCATTTTGTCCAAAATCACTTTACCACATACCTTAAAACCGTCTATCTCATGGATTTAGCAAATAAAAATAGGGGGTAAATTTCTAGTGCACATGCCTGTTACATTATGCTTCACGGTCTCAGAAAGTCTCTTTTAAAATATGAAAATTTATGTCCTAAGTTAATATGATTTTAGCTCTATCCTTACCCTCATCAACATGATTAAAACTGTCATCGAAGTAAAGAAACATCCCGTATATACATATACACATTCCAATAGTTGAACACACAAATATTGAGAAAATAAAAATTACAAACTCCCTGAAAATATTAATTGTTTAAAAAACTATATTATTATCAGGTTTGATACCAATATGATACTAACATAAAAAACCGCCAAAACGTTCAAAATTTAAAATAAAACAGAATAGAATAAAACTATAGCATCGTTTAAAATCAAAAATTACCTGTAATTTAACTCTCCTACACAGTTATTCAAGAATTGACAATGATGATCAAACCCAGGTATGCATTTGTTACAACTCTTGCAATGTTTGGTACCTTCTCCTCTGAAAATATCAATTTATACATAATTTATAACAAAACCATAAGCTTTATTTAAATACCACATCGACCAATATCACATCCAAATACATCAATAAACCCTTAAAAACATTAACTTACACACGAATCTGACAGATGTTGCAAAACTGCCTTTCAATCACATGAACATGTTGCTCAGCATCAAAATGAGATGGAATAACGTCATTCATACCACTAGGTTCAAATTGTGTTGCATGAACAAATAATCCAATAATCCATACGAAACATACCACCACAACCAACACAATCCACAAGCCATGAGGCAACGGCAAAGCAATAACAGGCAGAAATAACAGTAAAATAAGAAGCATAACCCATGTAACTATTTGTAAACCATGTAGAGGCAATTGGAATCCACTGTGACGCCGCCAGTCGTCAGGGAGATCTTTCGTTGAACAGATATTACACATGATACTTTAAGCCAAAACTCTGTATACTTTCACTAAACTCTCCAAAACCGCCTTCCATTCAGTTGTTTACTATCAAAATTAACAAAATTCAGATAACACAAGTTCAATCCATCAACAACGTTCGTTTTTCTTTTTACCATGCCAGCTGATCATCAGAATTCAAAATACATGAAAGTTTTAAACATAAATAATTCAGTTTTAGTCTATTTCGAGTAGACAAACGTAAAATTAGAAATATATATTTAGAAATTCAGGAAAACCATTGTTTTTTTAGAAACTCGTGAAAAAAAAACTATAATTTCCTGGAAGAAAAGGAACACTTGACGCTTTCTCAAAGAAAAACTCGGCTCATAAATAAAATATAAAAATTCTCGAAAATTTCGTCAGGAAATTTGTTTTCTCGGCCTGGGGAGTCTATTTTGAGGCACAATTTGTTGTTCTCAGCTTATTACAGTCCATAAACCACGTTTTCACTAATTTATATTTTTATTAACTTTACCAATATGTATGCGCATGCAATAACTACACTTTATTTACTGTTTTTGCGTGTAGATTAAAGTACATTGGACGTATCGCGTGATCAGAGAACAGGCGTAAAAAACGAATTTTAGACGATGCTGTGTTGATCACTTGCTTGATTTAATTTAACGGAAATATGCGAAAGTATACGTCTATTGTGAAATAACAGGGAAAATGGCTTCAACCGACGACAGTTCCGAGCTGGAATTGGTATGTTTTTGTTTTCTTTTCTTCGTTTTTAGGTGCAAACGCCGTCTTGAGGGTTAACAATGGTCAGTTTATGTTTTTGTAAGGTTTCTGAGGGTTGAAGAGCTTTAAATTAGGTATAATTTGAACTTTTACACTTTGTGATGGGTAATGTAGTTTAAAATTGGTTTTTGATACAGCAGAATACGTAAAAAGTTTTGAAAGTTGTTTTATATACTATTTTTGACTTGTCCAGTTCAATTACGACGTGTAGCTTTTCTTTTTATGAAGATATTGTTTTAGAAGCCGTTACACATAATAGAATGGTCTCACTTGGATTTATGGAAGTATTACCCTTTAGCGATGGGAACATCGTTGACAGTTAGATGTGCTCTTTATCCTACGACTGTTGTGAAGACAAGGTTACAGCTACAAAATAAATCTTCCGTTTATCGAGGAACGTTTGATGCATTTCGACAAATCGCCAAAACTGAAGGTGTTGGTGCTCTTTATAGGGTAATATTTTAATTCTTTTGTTGATTTTTAGGTGTTTTTGATGTTGGAAGGATAGGTTTATAATTTTTTATCGTTCAAATTTAAATTTGTGCAATTAAACTTGATTTGGACAGCGGTTTGCTCGACTGTTTTGGGAAATAAAATACGCTTTTTACAATTACTTATATTAAAATAAAAGTTAAAAAGTTTATTTTTAGGGCTTTTGGATAACATTTCCTCAAGTATGTGCCTCATTTTTGTACAATTCAGTGTACGAAAAGTTTCGTGATGTTATGAATCGTCACACTTTTATTGAATCTCCTCAACTCTTATCAGCATTAGCCGGTGGTGCAGCTAACGCATGTACGGAAGTAGTATTTGTTCCTACTGATATTGTCTCGCAGTATATGCAAATTCACAATCAGGGAAAAGACTTCACGGGAGGTGGCAAAAATGGATCTGCTATCCAAAATTGTCTTCGAAACGATGGTCTGGAAAAGAGAATGACATTGGGATTCAGAGTTGTTAGAGCGATCTACAAAACCGATGGTCTGTTGGGATTTTACAGAGGGTTCTGGTCGTCTTTGGCGATGTTTGTGCCTTCGACTATGGTGTTTTGGTGGTCGTACTATGAAGCGTTGATAAGATTGAAGAGTTTGAGGGCTAGATGGTTGAGTGATGGAAAGGAAAAAGAGCTGGAGAATTTACCATGGCAAGATCAGAAGTTGTTGGGTTTGCAAGCTGGAGCAGGATTGGTGGCAGGAGTGGTTTCGGCTGGTGTTACGAATCCGCTGGAGGTCTACAGGGTTAGGATCCAGGTAGGTAAAATTATTGTATAAAAGTAGTTTAATGATTAAAAAGTTAGTTTTAAACAATTAGTAAGGACACAGTTAACGTCTTATGCTATATTTTGTGTTTTTGTTACCTAAATTTTAATATTTTTCATAAGTTTTTATAACCTGTTATTTTAGATTCACCGCGGCACCTACCTAGATACCTTTAAACGTATCATAAAGGAAGAAGGTTTTAATGTCTTTACGAAAGGTTTATTACCTCGTGTTGTACATCGTGGTATCTTTACGTGTCTTATCATGATAGGTTATGAAGCTGTGAAGCGGATAAGTGTCTTGCCCGAGTACAAAGATACTGTTGTCTGGTGATGTACAAAGAAATAGGAATTTTAGTTGTAGTTAGTTGTAAAATACGGCGGGTCTTTGTTTGTGGACATAAAATGAAAAAATGTTCAACATGTGGTTAAAAGTGTTTTGCCACATTTTTAACCGCGTGTTGAACATGAGCTTTCAAACTTGAAATTCCAAGTTTAAACAGTCCAACTTCACCTTGAAGCCTTTCCCATGACCTCAAGGCAAACATTTCAAGCTCAAACGTGTCCTGAATGAGCCCCTCGTGTTTTGAAACTTTAGGAATAGGCGTCAAATATGCTAGTTATGTTAATGTGCTTTCTTTCGACCAGAGATCTTGTTTTTGTAATGATTTATATTTTGTTGTTCACTTTTTCCAATTTGCAAACTCTTTTGAATTCTTTTTTGAAACAAATAAACAATTGTATTGTTATCTTTGGTAGTTACGAAAGGGTTAATATTCTCAATATTATTGGGTCTTGAAGGGGTATTTGACTGCATTTTTGAGTGCTTTGGGGGTAATGTCATTAAGGAAACTATATTTTATGAAATAATTGCAAAAAGTGTTAGTTTGGTCATCCAGTTAGTCAATATAGGTCATCAAGCCAAGATCAAAAATTGGACTTTTTCCAATTTTGACAACTTATATCAGAATAGCCCTTGAGTTCGCATGTTTCACTTTGACAAAGCTAACAATAAGTGAGATAACTCACATTGGGCCAGAAATTTGAAAACAAGCTACTTGACGTTTTTTTCTTGTTGTGTTCGCTGAAAGGGAAATTAATTGCTATTTTTGGTCTTTCGGCCGCTTTTTGCCTTTTTTCTTACCTGTTTTTTCTATTTGGCTAATGGTTTTTGGTCCAAATTGGCACATTGTGATGCTTTTTAAATAGTGGAGCGTGGAAGACGGAGAAGAGGAAAATTGAGCTTCAGGTTGTAAAATAAAATTTGGTTGCCTCCATAGTTGGCATAACATTGACTATTCATAAGCTTGAGAATCTTGCAGAAAAGGTAATTTAAAAAATATGGGAGGTTTCTTCTGTTCAAATACAAAGTTTTGTCTAATTTTACCGCACAAAAACGTTAGACTTGGCATTTGCTAACAAATTTCATATTTTTTGTCACAAGCCCGTTGGAATTTTTTCTGTTTACGTTCAAACAATATTATTACTTATGTTAAGAAATAAAAAGTTTAAGCGTTTCTGGTTTCGTCATTTGATAAGGTTTTTGGCTACAAAATCTTGCAAAAGTTTTATGAGTAGTTTGCAGTTTAGACTGGCACTATATTTCTGAAGGTTTTTTGTCCTAGTTGGGCTTGAAGAGTACCAGGTCCGGCACCGGGCTGGGCTGAACCAAAGAAAATTTGAAAGGGGGTGGGCAAGGCTGACATTTTTGGGCCTGTGGGCTGGGTTTAAACTATAATAAATTCTAGGAGCCCAGTTTAGGTCCTGCAACGAAAGGCTGAAAGATTAGGCTTGGCCTCTACATTTCCGGTGTTAATACTTCTTTTGGCGCTACTTATCTATGGCTAAAAAATGATTTCCTTAGACTAATCCATTAGGTCAAAATTACCCTGTTAATACTCTATTATGACCAGTTGCTCACATTTTTTAAATTTTTCTTTTTCACAACACAAACAAGATTAATAATTCTATAAATATTCTGAAAGACTTTCAAAAGAAAACAAGTCTTCACGTTCTTTCGTTATCGTCGCAAAAAAAACCTCTGTTTCGGTGGGACGGCATGAGCCATACTCACGTTGTTTTGGCGAATGTTTTGAACTTTTGTTTGTTTTGAGTTGGAAATCGAGAACGGAAAAGAATACCCTCGAGGGCGCTCGACTTTTTTCACGACATTTTTGCCTCGAGCACTCTATTTGGGGACAGTTTTTTGGTGGTTTTGGGTTTAGTACTTATTTTTGAGTATTTTAGGTTTAAATTTTGTTTTTAAGTACCTAAATACTGGGCTGAGTTTAAAAAAAGTTAAAACTTAGTTTAAAATTTAAAAAATCTTTGAATTGTCGCTCTGTTACGATATCAGAACGCCATAATAAGTTCAAAAGCTAAAATTAAAGTTTTAAAATTCAAATTTAGATTCCGGAATTATTGTTAAAAGTAAGCACATTTGTCGACCGGTAGGTCGCGCCGGGCGTTTCAAACAAACAGGATAGGAATTTCGAACTAAAACAATGTTTTTACAGTAAGTCTTGGTCTGTTTTCCTAAAGGTTTCATAATTTTACAGCCGTTTTTCGTAAACAAAGTTTGCGTAGTAATGGCTGCTTTGAAATTTTTAATTTAAAGTTATAAAATTGATTGTTCTGCAAAGCGAAGTACAGTAGAATGTGATTACAGTTACTGAGTATATAAGGTTTTTTGAGGATTTTGAAATATTTTCAAATAAAGTTTTTTTGAAAAGTTTTTAAAAAATAATTTTAACTGATTTTAGATACTTTTGATCACATATAATTCTTTTTTTAATTTATTTTTTAATTTAAATTTTTAAATCTATTAACTTATCTTTCTAGAAAGCTATGCAGAAGCACTTCAACGCCATGCTCGAAACGTTTTCGTTCCATGACTCCAACACCTCTCCCACCCATCATACTTGATCCAGCCTTTCGTCTCAGAGATAATTCTGGAACGGTTCGAATTGAAGTCGCTCAACCTCATCACACCAAAGATGTAGCTGAGTTTACGAGGATTCATTTTGCAAGACGTGAACCTATGCTTCACTTTTGGGGTAGGTTTCCAAAGTTGTTGAAGAACTAACATACTGTGGAACTCCTGTATAATGAATGTCTTTAGGAGTTTAAATTTTGCTCGTTATAAAGGAGTTTCGTTATACTGGAGTTTCTGTACTGTATATAAGCTTAAAAAATAATTTTTGAAAAGTTGAGTCTTATGCTGTAATCTTTTTCACCTTTTCCAATTTTTAGGTGTAGATCCAGAAACGATGATAGAGTCATCACTTGGCGAGATAATAGAGTATTCCCTAGAAACTCCATTTTCAATACTGGCATATTTTGACAAGAAATTGGTTGGAGTTGCATTGACTTCGCTATATGAAATGCGCGACCGCAAAGACGAGCTTGAACTCAAAATGCCAATGGATTTTGGGTCAGGTAGGACTTTTATTTTTTTGTCAATTCTTATTATTTTGTTCTTGATTTACTCTGTTTAACATGTCGGATTAATAAATTTTTTGAAAAATAGAGTCAAGCTTAAAAAAACTTACTTTTAAGATATCCACCGACTAAAAATGTACTACGAAAACTACGAAGTAGCGGCAGTTTTGGCGCTTCTAAACTATTTCAACGAAGTTGCACCGAACTTCTTGCCAGTCGCTGGAGGTTACGTTGGCCAAGGGCATCTGAGCGTGGTCGACAGTCAGTTTGAAGGGTAAACTTTACTTTGGTTAAGCAATTTCGAAGATTTTTATTTTTTGAAAATTTATCGTATTTTAGACTGAAATTTTGAATAATTTAAAGCGTGGTACTAGTTTTACTTGTTATCTTTAGTAACAGTTATTTTTCAAATTTTAAATTTTAAAACCTTTAAAATGATTTATTAGTTTTAGAAATGGAATCTACTCCAAGCTAGTTGTAGCAGCAGCCAAACAAATGGCCAAACACAAAATCTCCCACTACTTTGGCATCAACACTTCCGTCGACAGTCTGCATGCAGCGTTAATGCTCGGCTTCGAAGAAGCCTACTCGTTTCCCTTTTCTGCAGCTTTAATTCACGGCAAACCAATGTTTCCGGGTGGTGTAATGGTGGATGGAGGCAAGAAGATCTCCATATTGATTGGCGACAACGAACGCATCGCCGGCTTGAAACAACAACGACAAAATCAACGTCAACGAATCTAACACATATGATATATTTATACTTTGACACTTATTTTACGAACATGAATGTACATAGAACTGATTTTTGGGATGATTTATAATAGTTAAGGAAGGAAGATTCGTTAGTCGTTTAGGTAAGCATTGAATCTATTAATTTTGCAAAAGTATAGTTTAATTTACTATATATATATAAAAACCTAGCTTTTGTCTACGACTTGGTATAAGCCATAAAAAATTGGTATGAATACAAAAGTCAAAACGAAAGTAATAAAAATCTATTCAAAATTAAAATTGTAGTAACTTAAAAGTTTATACATGAAACAGTAATCACAACAGTAATCAATAAAAAAAACGGTTCGTAAAATGAAGTTGAAAAGGTACTAGATCTGGCTCGGCTCCTTTACAGGGATTGGGAAATAACAAAACTCATAGTATGCGTTGGCCCATGTTTCTCCAGGATGTCGACCAAGGAGATTGGGCCAACAATATCGGCAGTAGTCGATATGTACAAGTTTATAAAAAGTTTTGTGCGATCTTGCTAGGTTCAGTTTTTCTACCCAATGGCTGTGTTTTATCACGCTGCGCATGATCTGAAAATTTATAAAGGTTTTAATAATCTGTTAATTAAATAATCTTTGTGTGTTACAAAACATTTGACCAACTTTAAAGCAAAGTCGTATATGAAAAAAATAAAAAATATAAAACTTACATCTAGGTTGAGCTTCAAGGCCATTTTGGACAAATATAGAAGCAATAAATAATAAAGGTAGCACAGGTAAACGCAAAGAGGAGGAGCTGACTGGAAAAATATTGTTTAATTAAAAAATGCCATGCGTTGCGCGCCTTTTTTGCGGATTTTATATGGATAATTAGAAGACGCAGATACATATGTTATAGTTTTGATTAAAAATATTTTTTAAAAGTTGTTTTATAAGTTTTATTGTTCCATTGCAACATAGTTTTATGTTTTAAGAATATAATAATTTACAAAAGCCAAAAGAATAAAAATTTATTAAACTTTTTTAAAAAAATTAAAAATTAGTTTTTCTCTACTTCTTAAATTCAAACTCGTCATGAATTGTAAGATAAGAGCCATCTGGCTGTCTTTCATGTAGCTGCATATACCTGAACCAGTTGGGATTACCTGCCAGTTGGTAGCGACCTTTTCTCATAATGTACTCGCCATTATTCACATCATAAGCAGGTTGTTTTTCAAACGTAAATTCATAATCAAGGAAGGGTTCTGATGCTTTGGCAATTTCTGAAAATGTTCACAATATGTTTTATTTTAAGGGGTTTTAATTGACTCTAAACATAATACAGTATAACTACTGTATAACAAAGCTGAAAGGAATTGTAACTTTGTTTGTTATAGAGGAGTTTGTTATATAGGATTCTCAATAACGAAACCTATAGTGTTTAGCGATTAACTTAGCTATTTAATATTTTTTAAAGAAGTTATAAAGTAATCGTGTTACCTTCTCTTCCTTTGTAAACACGAGTATCTAATATGATCAATACAGCATTCTCCGAGTAGGTTTTTGCAAATTCTTCTGGGTTTTTATTCTTTAAAGCTTCTTCTTGGCGCTTTTCTATTTCTTCAATTAGTTTGTCTATTTCTAAAATAAATTTTTTATGATTACATAACCAAAATAAAAAATTTTTAAAATAAAGGTTTTACTAATTTTAATGAAAAAAAGCCAAAAAGAATTGAAAAAGTATATGTCGGAAATTTTTCTGTTCATACGCAGTAAGATGAAACAATTTGAATAAGGATGTGTAAAACATACCAGCCGTAGTAAGACCCATTATAGTAAAGCTTATTACAGGTTAGCTTTTTGGTTGATTAGAAATTGATTATTCGTTTTAAAGCTAAAATTTACTTTTTAAAAGGCATTAAAAGTTATAGGTTGGAACGTCTTTACAAGATATAGGCGGAGTTCAAACGTCTTTATTTACAAAAAAAGGTAACATGCCTTAACGTTCAAATTTAATGTTACTTTTTACATATCAAAAGCAAATTTTAAAAAAGTTGTGTGATTGAAAGTCCAATCGGTTTATGTTTATTCAACTTTGATTAGTTAAAGTTGACAGGACTTTTTCTTTTTATCTTTTACTTTTTTGTTTTACGAAGGTTTAAACTTACTATTATATTGTTTAGTACTAAACACGTTTTTTAAACTTCTGTTCAAAATTTATGTTTGATTTACCTTTTTGATCAATAGTTTGAATAATATGGTGGTATGCTTGCAGAAAACTCTAAATTTCAAAAACTTTACGTTTTTTACTTGTTTTTCAGCTTATCATGTAAGCGTGTAGCTTCGCATTGAGCTTTTACAAACAAACAAATTCAGGTGACAAAAGAAATCAATCAGCAAATTTTTTGTACATACAAAATATTTCAATTGAACTTGGTGTACTTGTCATAAAACACTTACCCCAAACAACAATTTTTACTTTTTTTCTCTCTCGACCTTTGTAACAAAAAGCAACATTGGTAAGCCTAAAAATCCGTTTTACAAACAAATAAAATCTAGCCAATATGTTTAGTAACCTTTTATTGAGTCACAACTACAGTAAAATTATAAAACTACAGTAATTGCACGTTTGTAAAGAATTTTTTGAAATTTCCTTTAATAATCAAATTCATCGTGGATTATTTTGTACGATCCATCAGGTTGTCTTTGATGAAGTTGCATGAATCTGTTCCATTTTTCTCCAGGAAAACAGTACCGGCCCTTTCTCATCAAGTACTCTCCATTGTTAATGTCATATGCGGCTTGCTTTTCCGTTGTCAATGTTTTGCCAAAGAAAGGTCTGAAGCCTTCGGCTATGTCTGAAAGTTTAGTGATTTAAAAATTTAAAAACAGCTCTACTTTGACAAAGCTTGGTAAACGATAGAAATTGATTCATCAGAACCTACTTTCAAGGCCATGAGTAACACTGTGTCCTAAGTGGATTAGTACAGCGTTTTCAGCGTAAGTTGAGGCAATGGCTTTCAAATCTTGGTTGTTCACGCCATCTTCTTGAATTTTTTCTACAGCTTGAATTTGTTTCTCTACCTCTAAAAAATTGCCAATTAGAATTAAAATGTAAAAAGTGTTACATAAAATTTATATTTTACTGGTCATAAAATCTTAATGATTCTGTAGTACTATAAAGCAGAGTTAGATAGTAGAGGAAAATAGGCAAGAAACGGTACTTGAAACTTTCCAAAAAAACACGAAAATCAATGTAAACATACCATCTTGTGATAAACCCATGATTAAAACAATAGTGTGTACGACAATATAAACAAATTGTACTAGCTGACAAGAAGCCATCTGTATTTATATTGGCAGCACAAGGTAGGCGGAGCATGCTTGTAAGTAGACCATTATCGATGTTGTTCTACTTGATTTTTGTCGCTTTTGATTTGAATGCAGCAGAAAGGTTACAAATAGTCTAAAAAAAGTATTTCAGATCTAGAAGATGCTAGTCTGGTGCTGACTGTACGTCTGTTTGTTGGTTACTGTAATGTATTACTAAAGAGGGGCAAGATATTAGTGCCAATAGGACAATTGCCTTCTTATGTGTTGCTTGTTTTGTATAGAGACACGTGGATAGATCCTAGTAAGACACGTAAACTTTAGACTGTCCCGATTTTGTAACTATGCTTTAGGACTGTTGGTACCGTATTTGAAGCGTTTTAGTCCCGTTTTATCTCTAGCCTCAGAGTATGAACAAAAAAAAATGAAAAATATTCAAATTTAGCTTTAAATTTTATTATTTGTTATCATAAATTATTGTTTGAATTCGAACTCGTCGTGAATGATGAGGTACTCTCCGTTAAGTTGTTTCTCATGAAGTTGCATGAAATTGAACCATTCCTTGCCTGGAAGACGGAAACGGCCCTTTCTCATCAAATATTCACCCTTGTTAATGTCATAAGCTGCGTTCTTCTCGACTTCGAACTTGACTCCGAAGAAGGCGGCAAAACTGTCAGCAATGGCTAAAAATAATTCCGTATTTTAGCTGGTAAAATTAGTTTTTGGAAGTGGATTTTGCTTTTTAAAATGTATAAACAATATTTTAAGTCATATTTTAAAAGTCCAATATTTAAATTATTTTTGTTTATATAATAGTAAGTCAACATTATATGTAAAATACGCTGGCTTCTGAGACGAGTGATAAATTTGTTTAGCAATCACTAAAAAATGTCAAAAAACAACATATATCTAAAATACCTTTATTTCCGCGAACAACACTGTTATCTTTGTGGATCAAGACGGCGTTTTCGGCGTATGTAGAAGCGATTTCGTCCAAATCTTTGTTTTCAAAACCATGATCTTGACGTTTTTCAACAATTTGTAGAAGTTTTTCTACTTCTAAAAATGAGGAAGATAAAAGTATATTGAATTAAATTGTTCACATAATTCTGCGCTTATTTACATCACGAATTTGCTTTGAAATGGGGCGCAGAATTAAGTGAACAATTTAATATTATATCAATGTAAATAGTATCAAAATTTTGAGTTTTATATTAGAAAGTGTATGGCTTGTACATTATGGGTAAAGACATCATTAGGCTTTTACATTAAGACTCTACTTAAACAACTATAGTGTTAAACGTTGTTTTCTTTTTCCTTACATGTTAGGTTAATATCGCCCGGAAATGGTTTTTATATTATCAAATAGACCCTTATAAAATATACAATGAAAGTGCTAGTCTATGACCTAATCACTAAAAATTTGCGACGAAACTAATGTTGTATTGTAGATTTTTTCAAAAATTTTTAACTTTCACGTATATTTAAATTTAAAAAAAACATTCAAAGCACTTACCTTCTGTTGAAAAACCCATGTTTAGAAAATTACAATTGAAAGATCAAAGTAACTTCAAGCAAACCTGAAACAGTTTATATATACAGCCGGTCAATATGGACTTGACAGGCGGAGTTAATAACCATAAGTTGTGTTTAACAGTTTCTCTTCCATTTTTATCATTTTTGTTGTTATACTTTCAACTTTTCTGTGCTTTAAAACTACAATTTTCAAATTGAAAACTTAAAAATAAAGAGAAACGTCAGAAAAATGATGTATTGCAATTGATTTCTAATCGACTTTGAACTGAACGACAGTTAAAAAATGCAAAAATACAACAAACTTTTCTGTTTTTGGTATGATTATTAAATCAGTAGTGTAAAAAATAAAAAAAAAGTTTTTTAAAACCAAAAACAATAATTCAAGCCAAAGTTTCACAATTTATTTCCTCTTTACATTAACATAGTCATAGTTAGCCATTTCCTTGACTTTGCCCAAATTAATAGTGATTTTGTCGTTTCCATCGTGTAAAACACCATCTCCGTATATGTTTTTACCATCGTATTTTATATCTTTGTATTTCATCGACCATACTTCCTTTAGTCCGTAAGTCGGATTCAGATGTACTGTAGCTGCAGCCGTAGCTGTCGCATAATAATAATCAGCGATCTTATCCTGTGCCAGTTGTTTTGCTCCTTCTATTATCATCGCTAGTAAAACGCCATTGCTAAAATTGAAATTTTTATAATTTTTTTACTAAAAAAATTACAATAAAATAAGATTACTGTATCATGAACATTGCGCATCGTATTATATTATAGTACTATAACATTTTTTTGACATTTAATAAAAATATATTGTATATAAGTTACGAAATATCACTACCACATCTTGACGTTACTTTAAAATAGTAGTACTATAGCTTTACAACCTATACATATTAAATTGTTAAAATAATTCTGACCCCCTCTCAAACCAAATTTTCGAGGTTTAGAGACTCAAAATTATTTGAACAATCTAACAATATAAAAACGCTAAAATACTTACTGCCTATACTCACGATTGACAGATCCCATCTCTCCATGCGCAATGATGTGTTTGTCGCCTTCTGGCAAGAAATTTGGTGTAATATACGCTGCATGATTTACTGTGGTCAATAAGTAACTTTCTGGATCATCATTGTTCAATTTCAACAACTTTGTGTATTTTTGACGTACTGAAAGAAATTTTTTTAATTTTTAAAATTACTAGGTTGTTTAAATAATTCAGTGCCTCTTTCAGACAAATTTTTTGGAGTTAGGAAGTACATAATTATTTGAACAATCTAATATACAACTTGAAATAAAAAAAAAATTTTTTTTGAAAGTTGTGTAGAATAAAAAAGTTTTACTGCCATTTTTTACGTACATATTCCAAAAACTTTTTACCCAAACAAACTACAGTAGGACCTCCTGTATAACAAACTCCTCTGTCCTAAAACACCTTTATAACAAACAAATTTGTAATCCCCAGCAATTCTTTATACCGGAGTTCCACTGTATACATTCCAAGAACATCTCACGCAAAAATATAACTTAATTTTAGAACACAATTTACAAAAAAAGGTAAACAACAAACTTACACCGTTCCAAATCATTCAAACCGCCTATGGGAAAGACTTCCGTGTTTTTGTCCCAGACTTCGAGCCAAACAAAGTTATATCCAATCATCTTCCCTGAATCGAACGCCAAAGTCGTGTAGGGAAAGCGGACACAAGACTCTACGACTGATGTCAGGCAATGGGTGAAGAATCTCATCGGGTCTACTTCTAAACTTTTTGAAATTTAATTTTTTTGTTTTATAATAATTACTTTATATTTTCAAATTTTTAAAATTAAAAAACAAAAATTCAAAGTAATAATAAAAAATTTTAAAATTGTAACGCTTACCATGAAAAACAGACAAAGGTTCATTGGTAACAAAGTGTTCTTTACAGTAGCTTTCTATTAGGCCAAGATCACTATATTCTGCCACTTCTATACTGATCGTCTTTCCAGGCTTTGTTCGAAGAGAATAATCAGGTACCAAAACACGACGATCTGACTTGAAACGAACATTCATATAATTTGTAAAATACGAAAGGCTCTGTATTCGGTTTGCATACCTTAAAATATTTGAAATTTTTTAAAGCACTACTTTTTTCAATATTTATTTTTTACTGGAAATCTCTTTCTGCTTGGCTTTTTACTTACCTTAACATTACTAACAGTTTTAACACAAGAAAATTATAGAAAATACGACCGAATAGTCTACGGATTGAATAAAAATCATAAAAAATTTTTATGTTGTTTTTCAATTTTAAAATATTATACTCAAAAATTTATAATGAATGTAATTTTTTTTCAAATTTTATGCAGTGAAACTCTTGTACAAAAAATCGCTCGAAATCGGCCAATGGAGGTTAGGCTAGGAACACACTCACATTGTCAGTAGTTGTCCAAGGGACAAGCAGGACTGTTAAGACGTCCGAAGGGAGTTGCACTCAATATGAGAATCTACTTTCAAATTGGTTTTATATTCATAATATTGTGGATTGTTTTCTTTATTATTTTAGATAGATCTTATAGCTTTATATTGTGAGTCTATTACAGTAGACGATAACTTTAGAGCAATATAAACCTATTAATTCTGAATTATATAGAAGTTTGTTATACCTACAGAAGTTTTACCGCATATTATAATTTGTCTTTCACTTTTTTGCGTTTTTTAAAGAAAAACGTGACTTATTGTCTGTAAAATGTAAAATACGATTTTTGACGTAGTGTATAATTTAAATAACAATTAACTAAAAAAAGTCACTTAATACTATTATTAATAATTACTCGTTTCTTGCTTACGTAGTTCCAAACAAAAAACTACGTTTACAGTACAAATTATAGAACGATACTTCCGTGTGGGTTTTACAATTAGGTAAACCATAATATTACCTCAAATTTTGTTACAAAGCGGACTTTTTGTTAAAGCTAGACAAGACTGTTAATATAGCAGGTGGAACTCCTGTATAACAAACTCTTTTATAAAACAAATCTAGTATAACTAGAATTGAGATGAAGCCTAGAACAAGCCGCGTCAAAGAAAATTTGGACGGAACCGAACTGGACTGTCACATATTGGCCTGAAAGCCAGGCTTCAACGAAAACCACAGAGCTCAAACTTATATCTTGCTACTAAGTCTTGACTATTGTAATCTGATGTTTAAACTATTTCCACTAAAATTTTTAAAATTATTATACAATTTATGTTTACAACTTACATAGTTGAGTCACAAAACATGCCATACTCAAAAAACAACTTTTTATGAATTTGTTTGTGGTCAGCCGAAGGCGGAAGGAAACGCATTAAAACCCTTTGGCGTTTAATTGGAAGAATTTGTTCAAAGATAATAAAATGGGTTTTCTTCAATTTTTTAAAGCAAACTCGAACTGTGCTCTTTCGTATTTGGCTGAATAACATGTGTATTTTTGTGAAAGCTAGGCTTGGCTTTTTATAATTGTAAGAAATGGCATTGATTGTTCTTGTTAAAATTGTTTTTTTAAAGCTTCGGTTTTGTTTTTTTTAAACATTGCCCTGCTCTGACCTGTCATGTCCTGCCTGATTTACCTTTCTCTTAGGCTGGATAAAAAAACGCTTTTTTAAAGGGGGCGGAGGAAAAAAAGAAGAAAGTGAAGAAAAATTTTAAAATTGTAACAATTTTTTGTTTTTCATAGCAAATTTCAAAAAAAGAGCGGGGGAGAGGGGGAACGGACAAAATAAGGCAATTTTATTATTTTTTGTTTGTAAAATACGAAGTGCGTAATAACGTTTTAAAACTGAATACGTAGAAAACTATTATACAGTGGAACTCCTGCATAATGAGCAACCTTTAAATACCCAGCCAACACTACTTTGTGCATCTAGAGCTTCGGTATAACGAAACTTTTTTATAACAAAAAGATTTAGAAGCCCAAACGTTATACAGGAGTTATTGTAGTAGTTTTGTTTTAAATAAATTTAAAAAATTAGTTTCATTCAAAATTAAAGTTTTAAGTTATGTTTTTCCGGAAATGGTATAACGTAAATAAGAGTATGTTGGTCTGTAAGTATTTGTCTTTAAATTTTAAAATCGCACTTTGTTTTTGTCACAAAACAGATCATGCTTACTTTAATTTATCTTACTATAGTTAGCCTTGAGCTTTCTACTCATTTTTTAAAAAAAATTGTAGTTTTAATATTTTTTACTTTACAGTTTTTGTCAAAAATAAATTCGTTAAAAATTATAATTAGACCGCCCAACACCCATAACATACGCAAACACTTACACAGACATTTTACAGTGTAAAAATAGAACCGTAGCGTGAGTTGAGTGTATAAATTTCTTTTCATAGCGTGGTAATTACAGTTTAATATATATTCATAACAACTTAATTGTACCAATGGTCTTGTGAGGTTTTGAAATTAATGCCTTGAGTTACAAACACAATTTAATCTACTGTCAAATGAGTATACTCTGCTACTGTGAGATACAGATATAATAACATTTAGTGGCTTTTACTGTGTAAGTTAGTTAAAAATAGTTTTGTAAGTCAGCAAAGTTTAAGCGTTTTGCGAAATAAAGTAAAACAGTAAGCAATTAGAAAATGTAAATATTTTTAACTATTTAATAACTTGTCGCATGTTTTTCTCAAAATAAAAGTCTACAATTATCTTAGTTTTACTCAAGAAGTAATTGTTTTCTTATTTTAGTGTAAGGTGGGATAGGATACTCACTTTGAATAACTCATTATTTTACATTATTTTGACAGCCGAAATCTTAGAATAACTAAGATTTTACTACGAATTAAATAACTACGTTAAATTTTATTTTAATTACACTTCTTAGTATCGATATATTTATATATTAGATACTAATAACAAAGCTATATAAGTATATGGAATGAAGCATATTAATTAAGAATTATTTATATGTGGGTTGAAGAAATTTACTAATTATACAGCTTAACTAAAGATTAACGTTCTTAAATTGGCTATTTGAAGACGTAGAGTATCAACGGAAGTAAAGATATTATAATTTTAAGTGTAACAAGGCTCAAATAATAATTCTCAGTTAAATTACGTGGTTTAAAGTATTTTGTAAAAGCTACAATAAAGAAATGACGGTTTTATTGAGTTTAGACAAGGCTAGCCTTAAAAAGAATGTTACTTCTTCTTTACAGTATTTATAATAGTATTTGGAGTAGCCTTACATATTCAGTTGACTTTTAATCTTTGCTCTTTACTATGTAATCTTCATTATATATTATACATGCGGCTATTACATGTATTATAGCTATCGTATTAAAAATTACTTTTTTGTGTAAAAAGTACGTCTAACCAGACCTTTTATCAACAACATTCCGATACATTATGTCAACACTCTTCCTATAAGTTAAATATACGTTACACCAACAACGTTTGTCTTTATAATATTTACATACCATCGCATGTTTACTGCTTATGCAAATATTTAATTTGGAAACATTACGGATGTTTTTGACAGTATTTGACGTACTATAGCCATGTGCTCGTGCTATGTTTACGTTGTGTATAAATAGACGAAACATTAAACATTCTGCCCCAATTCTTGGTCATTCTGTCACAATAAATGACTAAAATGACCTTCCAGACGCAATTTCAAGAAAGGTTTTGCGAGGGAATGGGTCTGGGGACAGAATGGGCTCGAATGTTACATAAATAAGTACGAATGTTATATGAAAAAGTAAGAAAATGAATCGTAGTAAAAGTTAGGGTTTATTTCTTAGGATCAAGCTTCGCTTTTGTGTAGGGAGGAAAAGGTTTAGGGAAAAAAGGGCATGTCTAGTTTTTTTTTAATTTAAAGGTAGATGGTACTTACAACAAAAAGCAAAAAAGCAGAGGGGAGAGAAGAGGAGAGGGAGGAGTGGGGGAAGGGAAGCGAGGGTTTTGAAAGTTTTTTTATAATTGTACTCAGTGATAAAAACGCAAAAAAATTTTTTAATCCGAAAAGAAAACTCAAACCTGATTGAAGATATTTTGCCCTGCCCTGCCCTGCCCTGCCCTGCCCTGCCCTGCCCTGCCCTGCCCTGCCCTGCCCTGCCCTGCCCTGCCCTGCCCTGCCCTGCCCTGCCTTGCCCTGCCCTGCCCTGCCCTGCCCTGTCCTGCCCTGTCCTATTCTACCTTACCATGCCTTTTTTAAAAAAAGTTAAAAAAGTTGTATTCTTGTTGTAAAATACGGCGTGACGTTGCAATTTATTTTTTAATTTACTGCGTATTATGAAGAATTATTATACAGTGAAATTCCTATATAATGAGCTGCTTTTATTTTGTCTTGTGTTAATTTAAAAAATGTTTTTTAAAATTTAAAAGTTTATTTTTTGCCAAAGTATCTTTTTGTAAAACCAATTTATGATCACTTAGCCCATGCTGAATAGCTAATCTCTCTCTGCATATATATAATAGTAAATATAATGTTAAAAACAACAAAATACGTTCTTCACGTGCTGTCGTATTCATTGTGTAAATACTGTAGCATACATAATGTTTTCGAAACATTCGCTTCTTGGCCAACGCTTTGTGACAATTTTTAGCGTTAAGTGGCTTATTTATGCAAAGGCTTCCGAGAGATTTAACCCAAGAAGTTACTAAAACTAAAGATTAACGGGATGTGTTTACTGCGTGATGATTTTGATATATAGGTGATAATCTTGTTTTGTTTCTACAGTAAGACGAATGTGTTACATCAATGTTTAGATTCGATGACATAGTTTCTAATGGGATTGTTTTGGCATTATAGGAATGAAGTAAAGGCGCGGTTTTAAATTTATAAATACCTAATTTACGTATAAGTTACAGTAAGCATAAGATAAGACATTGCAGGGTAGGGTAGGGTAGGGTAGGGTAGGGTAGGGTAGGGTAGGGTAGGGTAGGGTAGGGTAGGGTAGGGTAGGGTAGGGTGGGGTAGGGTATTTATATATAAACCTCAAATCTTTCATCAACCATGCCAAAACCAACTTCATGTGACAAAGCGTATAATTGCGTAATGAGTTGAATTCGAATAACGCTCAATTAATTAACTCAATGTCCACTCGCAATGTTCCCACATCGTGAAAACAAAAGAAGGCCAAGTTTGTGGCGCCAGTCACCGTCCTTAGAGATGCACGCTATGTATGTGTGAGAAGAATGCTGAGCCAAGTGCAAATTATTCGT